CAATAAGAGAAGTCTATGTTAGAGATGCCCGTTTTAAAGAAAGAATTCAACAATTGGTCTCAACGACCCCGGTAAGCATATATGAATTAGAAACTTTATATATGAATACATTTCATTTAGATTTTTTACCGTTAATACATTGTACAAAAACACAAAAAACAATAGTATTAACAACCCTTCCGGGTATACAAGTTAGCTCGATCATTAAGGAGCATCCAATACTAGGAAGAACACTAGACTTCGTAGTATTCAAAAAAACCAACAATATAATGAATAAAATTATTCATCAAACAAATTCCCATAAATGGAATGGTCGCAATTCGTTACCATTCTTAGTGAACAACGTGAGGAGTTTAATAAATCTTTCAAGTGCCTTAACAAAAGCGCACCTGTTTCAAACGATACAAAGTTAAAACACGTTAAAATTCATGTAGATTCCTACAATACCAGCTGACAACTATTATGTGACAATTCAACAAAATAAAAGATTTGCATTTAACACAGACAGTTGATCTTATAAGCACGTTAAGAGAAAACATTAAACGAATATTGGATAGGCATAATATATCAATATTACTGCCAACTTCTCTTAACACTTCAGCGTCATTCGACGAGAAACTCCTTTCATTTCCAGCTGATACTAAACCATCAGATACTAAAATAAAAACCCAATCAATTGACAACACAATGGCGCAAACAGCTATAAGTTTTCACAAACTAGCCTCATCGCTCTTACCAGAGTTTGATGGAAAGGCAGAAAACTTACAAAACTTCAAAGATGCTTTGAGTCTTATAAACTCACTAAAAGATGATAATGAAGCAACAGCTGTCAGTCTTATAAAGACAAAACTAAAAGGCTATGCAAGAATCTTGATAAGCAATGAGCAAACAATCGCTCAAATCATTGCAAAATTATCAAGCACAGTAAAAGGCGAATAAGTCGAAGTATTGTCAACCAAACTACTTAACTTGCCACAAAAAAGCAAAACTGCCCACCAGTACACTCAAGAGGTTGAGCAGTTAACAAAAGCTTTAGAAGGAGCTTTTATAAACGATGGCTTAACGCCAGAATTAGCCAATAAATACAGTACAGTCCAAGCAGTAAAGGCCATGACTAGGAACTGCGCTATAGATAAGGTAAAACTTATCATGCAGGCAGGCATATTCAATAACATGAATGATGCCATATTCAAATTTGTCAATGGTTGCACAGAGGCAACCGGACATTCGAACACTGTCCTGTTCTACCAGCAACAACATAAAAAGCGTTACTGTGGAAATTACCGCGGAAGAGGTAATAACCACAATAATGGTTATCGCCAATACAATATCAATGATAGAGGACGAGGCCGATATAGAGGAAACTCTAGAGGCCGCGGTAACTCAAACAGAGGACACAACAATAATGTCCGAGTTACACAAAGCACGTCAGGAATCTCCCTTTAAGCAACGAGACCTAAGTATAATGGTTCATTCAATCAATTTTAGTCTCAATATTTATGTGTCATTTCAGAATGCACTAACCAAAAAAAAATTAACATTCCTTGTAGACACAGGATATTTCACTTCTCAAAGACACTTATCAAGACATCCAAAATGATACAATAATAAGTATCCAAGGCATATTCCAGTGAGTAATAAAGTCCCAAGGTCTTACATCGATAAAGCTACAAACAGACAACTATATACATAATTCCACACGATTTTCATATAGTAGATTCAAATTTCACAATAACATGTGATGTGATAACAATTGCCAGCTAGACTTCAAACCAACTGAAGATTGGTTTATACTAAGACCCAAACATTTAAATTTTCCAATTTATGTTCCAATAACATACAGTTCTGGTAACAATTCATTATTTCTACCAGCAAGATCCCAAGTCATAAGGAAAATTAAGATAAGCACAAAAGAAGCCTGTATATTAATACAAAATCAAGAAATAAGCACGTAAGAGGTGGTATTCGGGAGCTCCCGAATAGGAGATACCCTGAATCCTCTTCTTCCAACAGGCGATAGCTAAAAAAGGAAAGATACTTAATATATATATACTATTCTAGAAGCTACATGTCAAGTTTGGTAACTCTAGCTCTTATTATTTACCAAAATTTGTTAAAAAACAGGATTTCGATATCGCTTTTTATCGATTACTTGGAAACAAGTTATCGAATATCGGAAACAAACCCGATCTGCGCATGGACTAGGAGGTCATACAGCTAAAATTTCAAGTCTCTAGCTCTTAAAGGTTCTGAGATCCTTGCGTTCATACATACGGACGGACAGACGGACATGGCTAAATCGACTCGGCTATTGATGCTGATCAAGAATATATATACTTTATAGGGTCGGGGATGCTTCCTTCTGCCTGTTACACACATTTGCACAAATACATTATACCCCTTTTACCCATTTTCAATGGGTTCAGGGTATAAAAAAGGCAGCGGTTCGGATATTTCTACAGAGGCAGCTAAAGTTTTCAATAGGTAGAGGGTATAACAATTACTTTAAAAGCTTATCATTTTATTAATTCTAGATCAATGGTTGTTTATTACCAAACCTATATGTATATCCAAAAGCTGCAAGTTTTATTAAGTTTAAGCATTTGTAAAACTAGCGTGGACGTATGCAGTGTGAGCTAGCGATGATACTTCCCCCAAAAAAGTTTGGGATCTATAAATGTTGGTATAGTTGATAATTAAAAGCCCAGTTAGTTTCATGAGTAGTAAGGAATCTTGCAGTCGGGGGCAACGGACGGAATATTCTGTTCGGTTTTATTTCCTACCTATTGTTTCTATGAGAGTCATATGTTATGACTAGCGGGTATTGTCCGGCCTTGCCCGTGGAAAGTTTTGTGCTACAAATTTTAAATATTACCTTCCCAGTAAGTATACGCCCGTGGAAAATTGAAATCTCCCATCTTGATCTCCACTTCTATTTAAAAATATGTTTAAAGTGCATCGAATAAAGAACAAAATGTTGAAATCAGATGTTTCCACCCTTGTTGGTCTTGTGGTAAGAATCTTGCGGTCGAATAAAAAATTAGCGTTTATTAAATGTTTGACCCGCATTTACCATCCAATTACGTGTAAAATAAGTTCCGATAAAGATTTTTGAAAATAAGTTTGGAACCGATAATAAGCCAAAAAGTTAAGTTAAGTTTTTTCGTTAAATTTCCACAGTTGCGGTGGAATTTTCTAAATCGCTGAAACACGTATTTATTAAGTTTATATATAGAACTTTGAAAATAAGTTTGATGCAAATCGAACGAAACTTAAAACTTCTCCCAACAAATTTTTGAATCACATTCCTACCGAAGAAGCTTGGATTCTGCGAAAAGTGTTAGACACGTCTTAAATGATTCTTCGTTTAGATCTTTGGAAATAAATTTGAGCACGAAACGTTACCCACCAAATCTTTGACCCCCCATTTCACCAAGGAGGAATGGATTTTGCAAAAAGTCCGAATCATACCCAAATGAATTTGAACTAATTTCTTTGAAAATGAGTTTGAGGCCGATCTGATGGTAAACAAAAAAGTTTCATACAAACATTTTTCGCAAATTATCCACTGTTGTTGGAATTTCCTAAATCGCTGAAGCACGTATACATATATAAGTTCTTATGTAGAGCTCTGAAAATAAGTTTGAAGCAAATCGGACAAAACTGAAAACTTCACCAAAAAATTCTTAGAGTCGCAGTTTTTAACGAGGATGCTTTGATTCTGCGAAAAATGTGATACACGTCTTAAATGATTTTCATATAGATCCTTGAAAATGAATTTGAGTGCGAAACGCCGTCCACCAAGGAGGTATAGATTTATGAAAAAGTGCGAAACACCCCTCAAATGAGTTTGAACAAAGATCTTTGAAATTGAATTTAAGGCCGATCGGACGGTAAACAAAGAAGTTGCATACAACCGTTTTTCGCAATTTTTTAACTTGCGGTTGGAATTTTCCAAAACCCCGTCTTAACGTGCACTTCCATCACATAAGGTAACTACAGTGAAAAGTTCAGCTTCCTAGCTATTACGGTTTGGGCTGTGCGTTGATCACCAATCAGTCAGTCAGGACAAACAGTTTTATATATAAAGATATATATAGAGATATACTATATTTTATAGATTGATTTGTTATGCTTTTGAACATATGTAAGAAGCATAATAATGCAAGTAAATGCCAATTTTCATAAAGATATCATGAAAAATATATAAGTTTTTATACCCTTGCAGAGGATATTACAATTTTGTCGTGAAATCTGTAACGCATAGAAGGAGACATCTCCGACCCCATGAAGTATATATATACATGATCAGTATCAACAGCCGAGTCGATATAGCCATGTCCGTCTGTCCGGCTGTCCGTCAGTCCGTCTGTCTGTTTCTATGCTAACTAGTCTCTCAGTTTAAAGGCTATCTTTATGAAACTTTGCAAAAGTGCCTCTTTCTGTTGCACGCAGTACATATGTAAAAACCAGCTGGATCGGACCACTATATCATACAGCTGCTATAGGAAAGATCAGTCAAAAATTAAGTTGTTGCATGGAAAATATTTTGTTTATCAAGATATCTTGACCAAACTCGGCATTTATTAGTTTTACTATGCTCCCTCCATTTATGCAAAATCTTGTTTACATCGGACCACTATATTATATAGCTGCCATAGGAACGATCGGTCGAAAATTAAGTTGTATGGATAATTTTTTGGTTTTTCAAGATATGTTGACCATACTCGGCATTAATAGCTTTTCCTGTGCTTCTTAGATACGGGCAAACCACTATGAACATTATAAAAAGATAAGGTCCGCAAGGGTATTAAATCTTCGGCGTGCCAAAATAAATTAAAACACATGGTAATAACGAAACGCTTTTGTGCAAGCAATCTGCACTGATAATTGACGTTTGGCTCTGGCACTCGCGGTAACACACAAATGAGAACATCTATGGAGTGACCTTGAACGCTTTGCGACTTAATGCAGTCGCAATTCGGGTTAAAGAAAGATTTATTTTATTTATTTTTGTTCGATCAGCTATTAAATTATTCTTTGCGTATTTAAGATCTTAAGTTACTGCGACATTTTTCAAGGATATCTTTGCGAATGATATTGTAATCTGGGTGTAGTTTTAAGACTTGTTGACAAACATTAACAGCGTTAGCAAATTGTCTTTTCTTCATATTATTAAATGCTAATTTGTATCCAATGTGTGGCCTAGAATGGCCACAACTGTCCCAGGCTTTTTGGTAATGCTTGGCAGCATCACTATAAGATTGCAACTTTTCTGCAATGTATCCGGCTAGTTCATAAGCCCTTGTGCTTGATTTATTAAATTCCAAAACCCGGTCCACAAATGTCTCGGCAACATCCAGTTTATTGCCATGAATATAAATATCGGCTAACAACAACCAGCTTCGCTCCAAGTATTCGGCCTCCTCATAATTCCAACTTAATCGAGCTGTTTTCTTAAGATGATTTTTTGCCCGTTGAATTTGCTTAAGCTGAACTAAAGCCAAAGCAATAGCATACAAAATAGTAACCATGAATGAATTTTGTTCTTTTTGTAAAAGTTCAGTTAGATCCTTTAGTGCTAATTCAACTTGATGCTTTTGCTTCGAAGCAATTTGTAAAAAGTTCCGAAAAATTCGACAGCTCAAGGTGCTTTCAAAGATTTCCCCAGGTCCAGGACACATTTCTTTAAGCAAACGTTCGGCTGTTCGCAAAGCAATTAGACGGGATTCACTAAACTCGCCAATGTCTCCGTCTTCAAAAAGATCATATGCATTGGGTATTTCACCATCTGGATTAATGCATATTTCAATCATATTGAGCTTAGCTAATTGACCCCACACATGATCCTTGCGAGATAGATTGAAGTATCGCAAAGCGCAGGTCAGATTTCCAGCATACCATTCGAATAAACCTTTGCAATAGGTAAACCCTGATGCATTTTTAGATGGTAAAGACGCATGTTCAGCACGTTCTAAAAAGGGAACACTTTCAGACAATGTACCAGAACGCCTCTTAACCTCAATTAGACGGGCTAAAGCTGTCCAATTGCAAGGCTGAGATAATAGCAGCTGGGAAAAATGGTACGCTGCTTTTTTAAATTCCATCTGAAATAAAAAAACATGAATAAAAATATATTACACTATTAATAAATAAGGTTTTATTAAATATATCTACCCATATAAATAAAAGTATTTGTCTCAACTGGCTGCCTGAATGGGGCATTAACACGCCCTGCCCAAACCAAAAGAGAAAACCGAAAGAAAGAAATAAGCAATATATCCAACAAAGTTATTTGCACTTTAAAAGCAGACATGGCATGTTCCTGTTCCCATGTGTAATTGGCTTCTGCATATTTATCTCATTATTTGAAACTGTTAGTCCAGACTGACTGACTTGATTGGTGATCAACGTACAGCCCAAGCCATAAGACATACGAATCTGAAATTTTAACTGTAGTTACTTTATGTGATAAATGTGATAAATATGTGCACACTTGGAAAATACCTGCAGCAACTGTGGTTAATTAATGGAAAACGGTGGAATGCAACTGGTTTGCTTAACTTCCGATAAAATTAATTCGATACATGCTTTACGCGTTTTTAAAATCCAGCCCTCTTGCATTAATGCGGGTGAATTGTTATATAAACAAAAATTTATTTTTTGACATCAAGCTTAAACCAAAATACTTGCACTGGGCAAGACCGGGGAATACGTACATATGACTCTGCCTATCACATAACTTTTTGTGTTCGCCGCCAGATTTGTAAAAAAGTGGTTAATATAGTGTTTGGCAAAAAAAAATAAAAGAATTTGGACAGATTTCGATTTAACATTTTAATAAAGTTTAAAATGCATATAGTATTTAATTTAGCGCTACTCATTTTCCGTTGAAGAACATAAAAAGATAATCCATACAAAAAATCCACTTCACGCAATATTTATTTTTTGGTATGTAGTATAAGTTAATCCAATCTAAATGAATAGAGCGCCTGTCTTGCGTAATCGTCAGCAGAAATTATGCTGTCAAACAAAGTTTCAACATGCTTGCAGACGGCCGGTAACCAGACTTCGCGCAGGAAGCGAAATTCAGCAATTTTGTTTGATCATAAATTTTTCCACAGCGAAAGCTTGGATTCTGCGAAAAGTGTAAAATACGTCTCAAATGATTTTACGGATAGAACTATGGAAATAGATTCGAATTTCCACCAAGGAGGAATGCACCCCCAAAATTAATTTGAACAACGATCTTTGAAAATGAGTTTTTCATACAAAGGTTTTTCGCGATTTTTCCACAAATTCGGGTGGAGTTCTCCGAAACCTCGTCTTAACGTGCACCTTCATTACATAAGGTAACTACAGTCAGCTTCCTGGCTCTTACGTTTTGGACTGTGCGTTGATCACCAATCAGTCAGTCAGTCAGGACAAACAGATTTATATATAGAGATGAACACTGCTAACGCCTGAAACATATAAATTATATTCAAGAACAAATTTAAAAAAACCCAGAGCCAGAACACTGAGCAAGTAACAAAAACAACAACAACAAAATAAAAAAAAAATTCCAGTGCCAGAGTACTGAGCGAGTTATAAAAACAGCAACAACAATTTTAAGACCCCAACATCAATTTCAACCCCTGTACCGCTGAGAAAGTCAAATTTTAAAAAAAAACAACATCAAAAAGATTGGCTGCAGAGCAGAGTAGCTGATTTACAGAAACTGCGGGGAGGAATACAAGCCCACATTTACAAATGTTAAAGTAGATTCAAACAATCAAAAAAAATTAATAAATAAAAAGCCACTGCTTCGTGCAAACGACTGCCAAGTGATAACGATAGCAATGACGAATGCATAAAACCTATTGCAAGGCAAAATGAACACACAAGATGTTAATACCCTAATAGATGCGGCGGTCAACTCCGCCCTTACACATCAATCAATACTCTTTGAAGATGAACTATTACACAACAAGTAACAACGGTTAAAGAAGAATTAAAAACATTTGCAGATTACATAAAATCAGTAATAGCCAATACTCTCCATGTAAAGGTTTATCAAAGGGTTCAAGTTATTGAGGGAATCAAGTGCGATACAAAAAAAATAAATAAAGATATCCCAGAATGTGACAGTAAACATGAAGACTATGCCTCATGGCGACAGGCAGTAATGAAAAGCAAGCCATACAATGGCAGCTCTAAACGTTATTAGACAGCATTGATTATACGCATCGAGGTAAGGCGTTTTGTAACCGCAACGAGCAAAAACTCAAAAGCCCGGGAACCAACGGCCCCATAGATGGCGTTAGAATGACCGCCAACAATTTACTGATAATCATAATTACCAGGACAAAAACCCACACTTTAACAAGGGGCAATGGTAACAATTCAGCCAATAGCCAGTATAAACAAGCAGTTAGCTCAAAGCAACGCCGTTTATCAGAAAATAATAATAACCAAAGCCCTGAGTCCATGAAACTAGACACGTCATCGTGCTAAAGACAGCCGACACAATTTTTTAGAACACCAGCATCAGGGACCCGCTCCAAAATATTCGAAAGAACATTAATGGCTAGAGTTTCGGAGCTGGACTGCGTTAAGCGCATCATACCAAGGCATCAGTTCGGATTTCGAAGACGTCATGGGACACCGGAGCAGCTTCACCGAGTGGTTGATTTTCGAGCTTCGAAAACTTCGAGTATTGCGTCGCAGCATTTGTTGACATCAAACAATCGTTTGACCGAGGGTGGCACGAAGGACTCCTGTTCAAACTCAAAAGTTTGCTTCTCCCCTCTCTGTTTTATATATTCCTCAGCTTCCTCAAAAATAGAAGATTTGTTGTGGTAGTGGACGGCACGTTATCTGGAGTCAAGGAAATCTAAGCTGGAGTCCCCCAGGGCAGAGTTCTTGCTCCGTGGCTCTACACCATTCACACAGCCGACATGCCGACGGTGGACCCGACGACACTGGAGCTTCCCGATAGCCTCAACCCCGCTACGTTCCCTGACGACCCAGCAATCGTCTCCAAAGCCAGCTGTGCATTCCAAGCCACTGACCAACTGCAAGAATACCTGCACGAATTTGAGACGTGGGCATCTAAGTGGCTAATTGCCATCAACAGGCAAAAGTCGGAATGCTGCACATTCACGATCCGCAGAGACACGTCGCCAGGAGTGTTCCTCCAAGGCGATCTCCTTCAGTATAAAGACGTTCACCGCTACCTTGGCGTCCACTTTGATCGCAGGCTCACTTGCAGCAAACATATAACAACATCATGTCAGAGTTTACGACAAAAATTAAAAAGTATGGCATGGCTCTTTAAGGAAAACAGCAATCTTTCTCTGAGCAACAAGGTGCTGCTGTATAAAACCCTACTGGCCCCAGCTTGGCGCTATGCAAGTCGAATCTTCGGCACTGCAGCAAAAGCCCATTGGAGGAGAATTAGTGTCTTCCAATCCAAGATGCTGAGACTAAGTACTGGGGCCCCCTGGTACATCCGCAACCAGGCCTTACCGAGAGACCTAAAGGTTCCCTTAGTGGGTGACCTTTTAAGACAGCAGTCCACCAGCTACATGGCCCGTCTTTCTGTCCACCGTAACATATTGGCAAGAAGGCTTTATAGAAGAAACGACGGAGACTTCACAGGATCCACCACAACGACCTCCCAAACCGGGTACTTAGATAAGGGAAACATAAATCGAATAATTTAAAACTTAATAGGTTTTGTTAAGTAAGTTAATCCAATTATTGTAAAGCTAGGTTCAGATGCTCAAGAATAGTATCAATAAACTAGCTAATAAAAAAGAAAAAAAAAACATCAGGGCAATCCACGCAGAGAATTAACCATACGACCCTGGGTAAGGAAGGGACAAGTGAGAGTTATGAAACTGTAGTCCAAGCAGAAGTCGTGGGAGAACAAGACGATTTGTCCGAGGTAGAAACCGTCCAGATCACCATACAACAATCATAACTGATTTTTTGACAAAAATGGCCTTGACCACAAATAAGAAAGTGGTTAATAATTGATTTTAGAAAATGAAGTAATATCAAGTAAGAGGCTCTAGCCGGGAGCTCCCGACTAGGGAATACCTTGGACCCTCTTCTACCAACACCAAATGCAGCTCGAGCTACGCGCTCGTTTACTTCAGCAGTACAACAAATTCATTTAAAAAAAAAACTGTTTCCTCGATAGGTGTCGAACTCGTGACAGACCACACTACTTGCCTCCGCCTCTACTCAACAGCCACACCAATTAAAATAGCAGCATAGAAAACAATTCAACCGCAATTGGAATGCTGTTGATAGAATTCAATAAAGACGCGTATGAATGTGTGTGTGTACATGTATATAGAAATTCTTGAAATTTTCCCTAGCTGTCGCGAACACGAGGCCATCCAAAACACGTTTTCATTGTTTCTTAACTAATCTTGATGAAATTTCCAGTAGATCTTATTGTGCTATAGAATATTTGTATATTCTTAAAAAGACAATTGATTTGAAAATGTAGTTTAAGTTAGTGGGCAGTTCTAATGTATTTGATTTATTGCTAAATAGTGGCTTTTATCCATATTTTATGGGTTCAGGGTATACAAAAAATAGATCCCTCAAAAGGACTCTAACACGCGACAAAACACACTTCTTGCCACCACCCCTACTCAACAGCCACACCAAGAATTGAGTCTCAGTGAGAAAAAACGGATTAAAATTGCAGCACAGAAAGAATACAATCTCAATTGCGCAGGAACATTGCGCAGGAATGTGTGTGTGTGTACATGTATACAGAAATTCTTGCAATATCGCTAGCTGCTGCTAACACGTGCGCAACCAAAACACATAACTTTTATGTTTCTTAACCGATCTTAATGAAATTATCGACAGTACATCTTATTGTACCATAGAATATTTGTGTATTCTGTGGTGGTAGCGGGAGGTGGCGATAGCTATAAAATGAAAGATACTTGATATATATATACTGTTCTAAAAGCTACATGTCAAGTATGGTGACTCTAGCTCTTATTATTTAATAAAGGTGCGTAAAAAATTGGATTTCGATATCGATTTTTATCAATTACTTGGCAACGGAAAGTTATCGAATATCGGAAACAAACTC